CTTGTTCCATATTGTGCTTTCCTTTGCCTGTTATACGCTTCGTCTATTTGGTCTATTCTGTCGGAGTGGTATATCCTTCGATCGTTGTTGATTTTCTTAATTATAAATTCCTCCAAAACTGCTTCCTTGATTCAGTCCAAAAGTAGTTGAATGTCTTCGTCTGAGACTTTTGCTCTTTTTTTGCTGGCATGATCTGGCACGCCCCAAATCTCCTCACCCCAACCCCCACACGCCCCAGAAGGACCCCGTGGTCGCCAGCGCGAGGGAAGTCCTCGCTACCAGACCCGCCTGTTCAAGCCCGGGTCACGCTCCCTACAGAGATAACCTCCTCACAGAAGGAGGCCGCCGCCTTCCATGACTTCTCGCTCGAGACCATGTGGTCGACCAAGGTCGCGAGCGAGAGGTCCCACCCACCCGCTGCGGCTCTAAAGGCACGGTGAGGCGTGGTTCAAGCCGGACACTCCTCGAGTGTATGCCGCGCCGTGTCCACCTCCTCGCCGCAGTGGTGACACTGCGCCGTCGACTCCCGCCCCATCCGCTGCAGGTACTCTCCGAAGCATCCATGATCCACGCAGAAAAGCTTATAAGTTAGGGATTTGAGGATTTGGGCGGAACGTAAGAACACTTTCATCAGCTGAGGAACCTGGCCAATTAAAATTCATTTTCGTTAGCACTGCACTCTGATTTGCAGCAGCGCAGAATGCAGCGCAAGCATTTTCATAAACTTCGAGCCGAGCTGTGCTCGAAGCAGCAAAGTCGAAGTCACTTCTCGTTGTAAAGTCGCGTTAAGCGTAATGGAAGCCCGCGAGCGACCTTTAGCTATCTTCTCTAGAATTTTGAGCCTGAGTTCCCGGTTGAAGTGTTCCTTCAATGTGCAATATTGACCGCGAAAGAGGTTTAATCCCCATTGGTCAAGCAATCTCGGCGTAATTGGTGAACAAACATTTAGAAAAAAAAGGGATACATGTCAAATTGAGTAACCTTCTCCTTTTTGGAAGTCAGTTAAAAACATAAAATTCTAAAGCTCATTTTTTAAAACCCTATATATTTTTCAGTTGCCTGTCAAACTATGAAATTTCTTTAAAATTAGAACATTTCAAGCAATTTTGTTATTGCTAACATCGTTGCGATCGAGCTCATCCATATGACCCAGAAAAAACGCGCACCAAACTCGTGTATCTTCGAACTACAGGCATAGAAATCGCCCCAAGACAACAAGTTTCTCTTCGTCGCGTGATCATTTGATCTCTTTAGTCCGTTTGACTCTGACCTATTCCTACTTTATATGTATGTATGTATTTATTTGATGCATCCCCAAGGGGTTTGCATGGCCCCCTTACATTTACACTTCCTTACTCCTTAAACTTACTTTAACCTTACATTACCCTTATCCTAACTTATTCTATCCTTAACCTATCCTTATCCTACACTTAATCTCTATATACAAAAAGAAAAAACAAAAAACACAAGACAACGCAAGAGAGAGAGCCGCATTGCGCCCTCGCTTCCGGGGCATTCCTCACTATCCCCGATCCTCCTTCCCTCATCCACTCCCCACATCCATTCTTATCTTCTCTAACTCTCTTATCCACCATTCTCCCCTCCCCGACTCGCACAAAATTTCCCTAATCCTTTCCCCTATCCCCCTCCCTTCTTCCTCTCCCCTGTTCTTTCGCACCGCTCCAACACATGCTCCCACGTCTCCTCCTCCCCCCTGCACACTCTACACACCCTCTCCTCCTCCCCCAACCAATACCTCGCCTCTCTCATCTTCCCCCCCACCCATCCTGCACCTCATGATCCTTTTCCATCTCCCCTCTCCCCACCCTTTCCTTAAATACTCCGGGATCCCTTCCACCCTGATCTCTCTATACCACCTGTTATATCTCGATTCCCCCGCCTTTTCCATCTCTTCCCCTGTCCATCCTCTGTTCTCAAAGAACCTCTACCTCTCTTCTTCCCACTTCCCTCTTCCTCAACTCCTCCCAACATAATCTTGCCCACTTATTTCCCCCTCTCCTCATAATTCCACCCCCTATTTGCCCCCCTCACGCTCATCTTGTCCCTCTTTAACTCCTCTCTAATCATATATCCCGGTGTCCTCCATTCCACCCCCATTATCTACTTTAAATACCTCTCCTCTAGCGCCTCCAACTTCCTCCACTCCTTCCACCCCCAAAACTCGCAACTGTCCATACTAGCCTATCAAATAGCTACAACCTCCTTTCCCACTTCCCTCTGAACACCCTCTGCCCTATCCCCCACACCTGTTTCATCACCCCCGCCGCCTTCGCAATCCTTTCCCTTACTTACTCCTCCTGCCCCCCATTCCTTTTAAATATATATCCTAAATACTTAAACTCCTTCACTTCTTCCACCTCCTTCCTCCCCAATTCCATTTAAATATCTTTAATCTCCCCCCTCCTTTTCTAAACCTCATTATCTTTGTCTTCCCCACATTCACTGTTAGCTCCTTACCCTAAAAATATCCTTCTCCTGGTGTCCTCATCCACCATCACCAGGTCAATTACCGACTCTCCCCTCCCTCCCAAGTATGTATACTCCCCTATTTCATCTCCCTCTATGTCCCCGTTTAAAATTTCCCACCCACATTCCTCAACTACCCCTACCAATCTTCTACCCACCCCATTCACCTTTTTATCCCTCCCTTTTATCCCTCCTATTCCTATCCCTGATCTTCTCCCTCCCCCTATCTTTTCCTCCCCATCCTCCCATGCTCCCCCTCCCCTCTCTCCTACTTTCGCGTTCATATCCCCTCCTATTATTATCCTTTCTTCCCCCCCGCTCTCCTTCATCCATTTTCTAATCCTTTCCAACTTCTTCTTCATATCCTGATTTACATACACTCCCACCTCTCTCCATTTCTTACCTTCTACCTCAAAGCTGCTCGTTATAATTCCTTCTTCTTCTCTCAAATACTCTCTTTCCTCTCTCTTTTTCCCCCTAAACTCCTTCCTTATCTCCAACATCATCCCTCCAATCGCCCTCCCTTTCCTATTTACCTTCCTCGTTGGCTGGTGGCTCCACCACCAACCCCTCGGCAATCTCTTACTTATCTTCCCCCAACTTTTTTCCTCCGTCCAAGTTTCCATTCCCACCATTATATCCCATTCTTCTAGTCCCTCCCAAAATTCTTCGTCCTTATTACTGAGTCCCGCCACGTTCCAGAATACAATTTTACACCCTCTCCCCCCTCTTCCTTCCTCTGCCCCTTTTTTTTCGTCCCCTCCTAGCCTTACCCATTACCCTCTCCCTCCTCCTTCCTCCCTCTCCTAACCGTTTCCCTCCCCCTTATCACCTTCCACCTCCCTGCCTTCTCTTCCATGCCCTCCCCACTCCCTTAACCTTTCCTTCTCCTCACTCCACCTCCACCATGTGTTCCCTATACATATTTTCCCATATCCTACTATCGTCCTTCCACCCGCTCTTCGTTCCTACTCTGCAATCTCCCTCAACTTCCACTGCATTCTCCTCTCCTTCTGCGTAAGGTCCTCCTTTATTCTTTCTCCTCCTCTCCCTAAATCCCTCCTCTTCCTAAAAACCTCCTTTCTCATTATTTCATTTTGTAGCCTTGCCACCATCATTCCCTTCCCACTCTCCCCAATCTGCCCAACCTGCCTTGCGCTTTCCACCTCCCCTTCTACCCCTAGCCTCTTCAACACCTCCTTTCCCGCTTCTTTCTCTTTTCCCCTATCCGTTCTTATCCCCCTAATTGTTATATTTCTCCTCCTCTCCGCCCTGTCTGCCATTTCCACTCTTTTCTCTAGCCCTTTCAGCTTTTCCTTCCATTCCCTCTCCCCCTCACCCCTTCCCTCTCTTCTGTCTCTCCCCCCATTTCTCTTACCCTCTCCTCCAGCTCCTCTATTTTTTCCCTTAGTTCCTCCAGCTCTGCCCTCCACTCCTCCTCTCTCCTCCTCATCTCCTCCCTCAATTCCCTAATTGATCCCTCTATTAACTCTTTTATCTCCCATCTGCCCCCTCGTTGTCCCCTCCAACGTCTCCCCCATCTGTCGCACCTCCTTCCTCGTCTCCTCTATCCTTCCCTCCAATTTCTCCTCCATCTCTTTCATCTCCCCCCTCAACTCCGTCATAATCCTTATCAAACTTTCTATTTCAATTCTATCCACACGTTCATCCTCCCTCCCTGGCGAACTTGGTGTCAGGCCACTTTTTTGGAATATATTTCTTCCTTCTCCCCTCGATGCTTCCCCCTCTTTACCACTCCCTTTTCCCCCTTTGAAGAAATCCTCCAGGTCCTTCTTCTCCCCGCCTCCTCCCTTTGCACTCCTTGTCTCTACCTCCAGCCCTCTGCTCGCCCCTTTTTTCTCTCCTTCCATATCCCTCACTTCTTCCTCCGCTCCTAACCTTTTGCCTGCTCTCTATCACCTGTTTCCCGCGCCCTACTTTACCGACTCCTTCTTATCTCCTCCTTCTTATAGACTCTTTCCTTCCCGGCCTTTCCGCTACGAGCCTCTCTTTCCTACTCTGTCCTCTTCCCGCCTAAATCTCTCTCCTCCCCTCACCCTACCTCTTCCTCCTGACTGTACCGGCCACTTCCCTTCTTCTCCTTTACTATCCATTTTCTTCTCTTAACTCCTTCCACCTTTTCTTCTCTTTCCCTTTATTCCCTTTGCTTCTCCGCGTCTTTCCTTCGTCTCCCTTGCTATCTTAAATCGTCCCTATAATCTTCCTAACCTCACTTTTTTCTCACACTATCTTTCTCTTCCTGACACTTTCTTACAACTCCCTTCACTCTCCCTTCACCACTCACAATCCACCCTACACTCTTTCCCCTTACACCTACTTTCGCACTTCCTTTCTCACTTCCTTCACCCCAACTTCTTCACTTTTTCCTGCCCACACCTTTTCTACATGCACTCACTAAACCACCGGAAACGGAAGCCTTGTATTCCTACTTTATATTGACAGGAGCCGAGCAGGTAGCTGTGGAAGGGTTGTGGAAGAAAATTTGGACTCACCTGAATCAACGGGTGTATGGGTAGCATTGGCTGGACCACGTAAATTGGTTGACTCTTCGGCGCGTGGTTTTGAGCCGTGACCCACTGGTGAACCATGTTGCGTGTCTTCATTCGACCGTCGTTGCCCACCTCGTCGCTGTTGCTCACCCTGAGACATCCGCAGAGCTTCGGAGTCAAGGTCAGACAGCTGTAGCCAGAGATCAACAGCTCGGCAACGCTGGTCACTAGAAGCCCGATACTCGGGAGGAGACCTGCCCAGTCACCTTCCACACCGTCAATGTTGTTATCTTCATCCTGCAACAGCGTTCACTTTTTTTCATCGTTAGAACAAAAAGAATGTCGTTCAAAGAAAATATTTACGCTAGGCAGGACGAGGTACAGTAAAGTCTCCATAAATGCACAAACTCGGAACTGAACTGGTGCATTTCTGATAGATTTTGTACATTCTCTGATGCTTGCCGACAAGCTTTGAACGTAGAGAAGGACACTGAATAACGAAGATGACGAAATGAAAACATAAAGTCTCCATACAATGGACAAACTTGCGACTAACTGGTGCATTCGTGGTAGAGTTCGAACATTCTCTGATGTTTGCCGACAAGCTTCGAATGCAAAGAAGGACAGCGAATAAAGAAGAGGATACAGCGAAAACACCAGGGTATGTCGGTGAGAGGGGGGCGGAAAGTAGAGCAGCGCGTAGCGTAGCCGATTACCACACTGAGAGCCTGGGTTCGATTCCCGGGCGCCCATCCCGGTTTTTCATAATTGGGGTAGGGCCGGTTAAAAGTATGCAGAACTCCTATGGCGAAAAAGAATAAAGAAATGATAAATAAAAAAGAAGGGACAATGAGACAAAAAAAGATGTACAAACACATAGTAGTGAAATGTGGGACTACGGTTTCCATTAACCTTAAAATAAAAACAAACAAAATGTCGGTGAGACAATGTAATGGAACGGTGAAACTTTTTTACTATTAATTTTTTGTTGTAAAACTTTTATCATCATATTCCTGACATTTTTAACCGACTTCGAAAAGCAGGAGGTTACTCAATTCGACATGTCTATTTTTGTTTGTCTGATTAAAATGAGACTAAACACGATATAATTCGGACGATATTTACAATTCATGTTTTTTTAGTTAGTGCTCTACGATGTATTTGCTCTTGCTCTTGCTCTTTTCGCCAACACTTAGCCAATAGGAGCTAAAGCCATTCGTCGATTCGTCGACTCTCCGAATCAGTCGGCAGGGCTCGTCGAGAGGAATTATAATATGGCTGCCGCTCGCGCCGCTCGTTCATTTCTTACCTGTATAACCTGTCAGTTTGTCTTTGTGACAGTTGTCATTTCTAACCTGTATAACCTACCAGTTTGTGTTCGTGACATTTGGTCGCCGCAAATTAAATAATTATTTTAAAGGCTACGTGTAGTGATATTGTATTGGGAAGTATATGGTTATAAGTGATGAAATATCTACCTTGTCGTTGTGAAAAGATATATATAAATTTGGTGTTTGAGTGTGCAGTTCATAATACAAATTTCAGTAAATGTTCATTTTGTGCAAATAAGAATAAGTGTTCTAATACAATAAGTTGTGTGTTATAAATAGTGGGCCACTTTTTTTATTTTCACTTCCTGATAAACATTTAAATTGCTTGCAACCAGACTTTCTGTCATACGTTCTGTGTACGTATGAACTTTAAAAAGAAAAGGAGAGAGAGTAACAAAAGTGAATATATATATTTCATATGACATTAATTTTATTTGTAAATATGTTACGTATACAGAAACTCTCCGTTTTTAGAAGCTCGCGTTCATTAATCTTATTTTATCTACCCTTCTAGAATTTGGAGTTCGGTCTCACTGGAGTGCATCCTGCAGCTGTATCCTCTTAATATCATCTTTGACTCGCGTTGAGTGGGATACTTTCTAATCTACCCTTTTCCTAGGGCGCACAGCTGCCGACCTCAGGGCAACGAAAATCCTAACCGTCAAATTTCCTAATATGGAAATCACTGGCGGTTCCCCACCAACATTTAGGGGTATATAAACCCACGATTTTCGTTGCTCGGGGGCTAGTACGAAAGAGTTACTCGTTGGAGACATATCGATCGTCTGTAGAGTAGCGCTCTAGTGAGATCGGGTTTCAGTTCCTTTCGATCATCGTTACCATATATGATTTAAAGACGGTTTTAAAATCTATTACGGCCATAGAAGTACTCTCGACCCCCGCATCGCCAGTACGTCAACACCGCGCAACACTTAAGTAATTTTAACTTCATACACTAACCGCTACAACAGGACACTTCACACTTGTAATTAGTATAGTTATTTTTGAATATATACTCTTTTGTGTAAACTTAAAAGTCTGTCAGATCAATCATGAAACCTTTACTTTGAAATCACCAATCCTAGCCAGTGTAACGATCCCACAACATAATAACTTTACCGCTCGAGTTATTATTCTATTAAATTAACAAGTTGCGAGGCTTTATTAACGACGCGTGTTACACTTTAACGATACGATTTAGTCATTGTGTACTCAACCCGAACTCCTGAATTTAACCTATCCTGCGGTTACCCTTTACTGGGAGATACCGATTCCTGCAGCTACCTGACTTCGTGTTAGAAGCGTCTGCGTTTATCTCCAATAACCAAGGCAACCAAACACCTTAACCTACGGTTACCCTTTACTGGGAGATACCGATTCCTGCAACTATCTGACTTGGCGTCAGAGTCGTCTGCATTATCTACTCTATCCTCAAATCTTCGGCTCCATTGATACATACTAATTAATCGTATCGGTGCAATTCTCGAATCCACCCCATTCGCAGGGCTCACACGCGCGTCGCTATCGTCCTGGCTCGTAACAAATAATACATACAAACTTTATTTTACTTGCAAATTAATGTAGAGCCTAAAATAAAAATACATTTGTCTTTTATTATAGTAAGCGTAGAGTCTACAATATACATAATGTGTCTGAAGCCAGATATAGGAAAGAGACGAGCTTCAGTTCTTTATGTTTCCAAAAGTATACAGAACGCATGGGAGGATGTCTCACTGCAAGAAATTTAAATGTTAACGTTGAAGCGAGAAATGAAAAAAGGAAATCAACTATTTGTAACGCATAATTTATTGTATTAGAATAAAGGTCAGAAGTACGCAGAACGCGTGGTAGAAAGTCTTTTTGCAAGAAATTTGAATGTTGAAGACAAATCGAAAAATGAAAAAAGAAATCCACTATTTGTAACGCACAATTTATCGTATTGCATTATCAAATTCAGTCCTTAAAATTTTCAAAAGTACACACAATTCGAAATTTAAATAATGAGAAAACGAACAGAGATCCACTATTTGTAACATATAATTTATTGTATTACAATAATATAAAAAAAGAGAGGTCAGATTAAGTTCTTTAAATCCTCAAAAGTACGCACGACTCATGAGAGTAAGTCTTGTTCCAAGAAATTTAAATGTTACTGATAAAGTGATTACAATAATATAGAAAATGGGAGATCAGTTTGAATGCATTAAGGTTTCAAAAGTACGTGGAACGCATTGCAATAAGTCTCATTGTAAGAAATTTATTAAAGAAAAAATGTAATTACTTTATCAGTAACATTTAAATCCAACAAGACTTTCTGTCATGTGTCGTGGGTACTTTTGAGAAATTATAGGACTAAGTCTGACCTCTCCTTTTATATATTATTGTAATACAATAAATTATGTGTTACAAATAGTGGATCTCTGTTCATTTTCTCATTATTTAAATTTGTTACAAGACTTTCTGCCACGCGTTCTGCGTACTTCTGAACTTTATTCTAATACAATAAATTATGCGTTACAAATAGTTGATTTCCTTTTTTCATTTCTCGCTTCAACGTTAACATTTAAATTTCTTGCAGTGAGACATCCTTCCATGCGTTCTGTATACTTTTGGAAACATAAAGAACTGAAGCTCGTCTCTTTCCTATATCTGGCTTCAGACACATTATGTATATTGTAGACTCTACGCTTACTATAATAAAAGACAAATGTATTTTTATTTTAGGCTCTACATTAATTTGCAAGTAAAATAAGGTTTGTATGTATTATTTACAAATAAAATTAATGTCATATGAAATATATATATTCACTTTTGTTACTCTCTCTCCTTTTCTTTTTAAAGTTCATACGTACACAGAACGTATGACAGAAAGTCTGGTTGCAAGCAATTTAAATGTTTATCAGGAAGTGAAAATAAAAAAAGTGGCCCACTATTTATAACACACAACTTATTGTATTAGAACACTTATTCTTATTTGCACAAAATGAACATTTACTGAAATTTGTATTATGAACTGCACACTCAAACACCAAATTTATATATATCTTTTCACAACGACAAGGTAGATATTTTATCACTTATAACCATATACTTCCCAATACAATATCACTACATGTAGCCTTTAAAATAATTATTCAATTTGCGGCGTCCAAATATCACAAATACAACCATATTACAATTGACAGCCATATTACAATTCCGGCCGACAAGCCCTGCCGACTGATTCCGAGAGTCGACGAATCGACGAACGGCCTTAGCTCCTATTGGCTAAGTGTTGACGAAACATTCCTTGTCAAAGGAAAAGAAGAATGCTTACGTTTTGACACATTCATGATATAATATTACGATATCTCTGTCGTTCGTGGACCGATTTTATTGATTTTGGTTTTATTCCAAGCTTTTGTGCGATTTACATCAGATAAATGCCTTTACATTTAGGAAATACAACAGACGTGACGAGATATTAATGACAGAAGTTTCAGGTTAGGTTGGAATGGACCTTCTCTCCTGTAAAAGATACGCGGTAGCGCCAGCGCCAGGCATGTACGGGGAAGGTATTTTTTCATGTACTTGGCGTCGAGACGCTACCTCGTCTCTATATTGCAATGCGATTTAAAGGTACTGTAATCAAATTCAAATTATTAACAGGGGCAGTTTGTAAGAAACTATAAGAAATGCAATTGCTCAATGGTATTTGTATGTATAGTACAGCTGAGTAATTAATATTTTGAATCATTATCATGATTTACACTGTTAGATAGATTCTCATTTATTAAATACTGTACGCACGTGCGAGTGCAGAGAGCGGGCAAGAAGAGTAAGGAAGACGCAGAAGCGTCTCGACCGGAAAAAGTAGCGCACGTGCCCGTGCTTTTGTTCGCCACGTTTTACGTACAACGGCGGTTACCGTTACGTGTCCTACAAGAACGTTCGTCGCAATAACTTTCTGTTCGTCACAGTTTCTTT